CCGACTCGCACACAATCAGCGTCTTGCCCTTTGGGTCCGTGAGCAGGTACCGGAAAAACACATCGGTCAGATGATCCGACAAGTAGTACTCGAGCTTGTTGGCAGCAACTTGGTCAAAAAAGCCCGAATAGTCCCAAAACTGTGTGCGATCGGCCTTTGTTGCTGAAGCATGGCGAGACCGGTTGGGCACAATGAACCGTGGCGAGTGCTCGCCCGCAAACCCGACCTTGGTGTAGAGCGACCCAATGTCGAGCAAAATGCGGTCGTCCGAGGTGTAGTTTGACGACGATGCCGTGGCACGCGACCGGAGCAGCGCGGCAATGTCGGATGAAGAGGAGGCAAGCGAAGATGAAGCACGGGCGGCCGCCGAGGCGGTGCGGGTGCCGGCCGTGTCGAGGGCGCGGCGGATGCGGTCCATGGTCGTGTGTGATTGCAGCGAGTGCAGTTTAGTTCAGTGTCATGGCTCAATTCATCGTGGTATCATATGTACATCCAATGCGCTGTTCGACGTCGTGCAACGAGCGCCACACCGGCGATCTGGGAGTCTTGAGGAGTCTGGGTCTCTGGGACCTGACCACCGAGCGACATTTTCCTGACCTTCATGGCTTCTGTGCGTCCCATGCGGCCAAATGCACGAGTAATAGCAAACTATACAACAGGAATGACATAAAGCATAATAGTACATTGATAGGATCTCTTGGTTGCTGCTCCATGCCGAGTTGGGGGAACTTGGCATACCCAGGACACTCGCACGCTTGGTATACATGGTCTCCCTGGAAACTGACTTACTCGTCAGCGCCATACACCATGGCCCAAAACTTGTCCTCGAGGACCGTGACCTTTTCCACCACGGCCATGGCCGCCTTCTTGTCGTCCTCAGTCACCTCCTCCCTCGCAAACTCGCGATCCACCGCCACGCCCATGTCGACCACAAACTGGTCAAACAGCGGATTGGTCCACCGGTCCACAAACTCCTTGTACTCATCAGGCACCTTTGCGTCCCCTCGGAGCGATCCCCACGCCAGATTGTACGCCTTCTCGCCCGCCCAGTACGCCACGAGCAACTGCCGGTACGCCGCGCGCCTATCCTTGCCCTCGCCCAGCACTTGGGTTTGAAGGTCGCCCAGCCACGTGACAAACTCGGCACATGCAGGGCGCACTTGGATTCCGTTTCCCGGGGCCTGCTCAGAGACACGCACAAACTCGTCTGGGTGTGGCAGCGACACGCCAAGTTTGGTCAAGTGTGCCTCGAACCAGGCAATCTCGTCCTTGAGCGCCAAAAACCCGGTCAGCAGCAGGTCGTTGTCGCGGCGCGGGGCAAGCGTGAAGATGGTGCCGAGGAGCTTGGCGAATTCAATCACAAACAAGTAGTCTTGCAGCAGCCAGCGGTTGAAGGCAGCCCTGGGCAGCGTGTTAGCACGCAAGTGCGCCAAAAATGAGGGGGTGGCGATCTTGGCCCAGTTGGCGGCAAAGTGCGAGGTTGCTTGGGCCGTGAAGGTCAATGCATCGGTGGAGGTGTTGACGGTCATGGTGTCGATTGACTTTGGCCTGATGTGAGGGGGGCCGTTGCATTTGCATGAGAAGCGCGTGGCAAGAGACGGAGCGGTGCGATGCTGGGTGGTCTGCCGTATTTGTACATGCCAGGCTGCCGGGAAAGGTCGGAACGTTACATACGGGAGGGTCGACTCGCGCAGAATCGGGGCCCCAACGCTCAACGCTCAACAAGAATGTGACCGATTGCGAGCCATTGTGTTATTGTTGCTGTGATAAGTACGAACGCGAAGATGTGAGACACTGAGCCGCGAACATCGAACATGAAATTCGCCATGGATTGCCCGAGCAATTTTCCGGCCAAGGCGAGCGAGATCTACTATAGTAGAGACGAGAGTTGGAAGGCTGCGGCTGTTGTGTACTACAGCACTCATGCATGCCGGGCCGGCCCCTGTGCCACCTGCGGGATTGGGTGCCATTTCCTTCGACCTCGAGTGGTGTTTCAACGCGACGCAAGACGAGAAAGACGAGCAACACAAGCGGGCGCTGCATATGGTGCAGAGACAGAAAAAAACCGAGTAAGTAAAGGCATGAGCTCAACTTGAAGGTCTCGGCAACGACATTTGGACATGTGGGCAACATGTATTGCAGTGCGAGCCTGTACTAGACGCTGGTATGTATTGCTGATGGTGCGGCGAATGCCATTGGCCATTTGAAGACCCGGTAGCTGCGAGCTGCCAACATGAGCGTGACAGATCACGCCGTCCACCACCACCGCCACAGTGCCACGTCCGTCGATCGCATCGCGATTTGTTGATGCGGGTCAGTCTCTCGCCATCTCTCGCCCTCATGCCCATTTTCAGCACACCGAGACAACGGCGCGCCTCTCTCTGCCCGTGTCCCCATCAATACATGGTCCAATGAACCAGCGGTCCTCGTTTCCCCTTGCCCTCGTCCACTGCTGATTCCTAGTTTCCTAGTTATCGATCCGCCGACACTCGCCATTCCCGTTCCCCCGCCGCCATGTCGCTCAAGTACGAATACTCGGCCGCCGAGTCGTATTATGTGCTGCTGACCTTCCTGGTGCTTGCCCTTGTGCCCGCCACCTACTACATTGCGACCCGCCCCGCCGACGCGCTTGCCTCGCCCTCGATTGCCCGGTCCCGCAAAGCCGGCCTGCCCGACCCGCCCAAATGCACGTGCTCCGTGTGTGTCAAGGCCCGCGCGAAGCGTGAGACGCTCGTGTCGTCGCTCTTGTCGACCGATCCCATGGTGGGTGTGCCACGGTCTGCACGCGGCACCAGCGACAACGCCGCGACCTTGGCTGCCAAGACGTCTGGTGACGGCATCTTGAGGAAGATCTGGAACGGGTATTTGTCGACCTACTCGTTCCCCAACATTGTCTTGGGCTATGGATGGCTGTCCTTGTGCTATGTCGTTTACAAGATTTTTACGGCCGGCACCGTTGTCGAGTTGTGGGACCCGCACTCTGTGCTGGGCATTGCGGCGTCGGCGACTCGTTCAGAGATCAAGAAGGCGTACCGCAAGCTGTCGCTGGCCTTGCACCCGGACAAGGTTGTCGAGTCGATGCGCAAGGAGGCCGAAAAGAAATTTGTTGAAGTGTCCAAGGCGTACAAGGTGTTGACGGATGCAAAGGCCGCGGCCAACTTTGAAAAGTACGGTAACCCGGATGGCCCACAGGCAACCACGTTTGGTATTGCGTTGCCGCCGTGGATGACCAACACCACCTTTGTGATTGTGGCCTACTTGTCCGTGTTGGCGCTGCTCGGGTTTGTGGCGTACCGCTACTTTACGTATGGCAATGTGTTTGGCGGCAGCAGCGACAAGGCCTTGGACAATGGTATGCCTTACATTTTTGTTCCTCTTCTTTCACGCTCGATTCGAGTTTGCCTAATCTAATCCTGTGTTGTTCTGGCTCAAGGTCTCCTCAAGGAACCCATCGAAAAGCTCGCCCAGTCCTTCAAGCAAGCCAAAGAAACCTCACCGCCACTGTCTATCGACCAAGTCCTGACCATGGTCACGGGCACTGCCCGCGCACATCACCCGCACTTTGCCCTGACGCCCGACCAACTCAAATCCATCCCGAAATCCGCACGTGACGTGTCAAGCAACCCGGCCATGCAAGCCCTGCAAGCACACATGCACCGGTCGACAGGCGACCTGCCCGCAGACCTCTTGACCACGCTGGACTTGGCTTCGGACGCCGTGTTGGGTCTCGCTGTGCAGCGCGGCCGCTTGGTCGATTTGCCCGCGTGCTTTGCCGCACAACGCGCCATCATCACGGCCACCAAGCCGGGCGACTCGCCGTTGCTGGCGTTGCCGCACGCAACCCCGCAAGTCGTGCAAAAGCTCGGCGGCAGCAACTTGTCGGCCATGGGATTGTACAAGCAGGGCCGCGCGTACTTTGATGCAAAGGTCGGTAATCTCTTGAGCGAGGAGCAGCGTGAAGAGATGTGGCAGGCTGCGGGGGATGCCCCATATGTGGCTGTTTCGAGCGCAACGTTTGGCGACTTGACATACGATGCGACCCCCGGAAACGAGACGCCCGTGCATGTAGATGCCGAAAAGATTGCCGTGACGGTCAAGCTGGTCATCACCACGGTCAGGGATCAGGTCGAGAATGGCGAAGCCGCCGGCGTGAATGCGAGCCCGAATGCGTCGCCCAATAAGAAGGCCGGCAAAGCCGGCAAGAAGGCTTCCAGTGCTTCCGAATCCGCCACGGCCGCCCCGCCCAAGGTCCTTGCCCGCGAACTGCCCCCCGCGTTTGCCCATGCGCCCTACTTCCCCGACACCAAGCGTGGCGGCCTGTGGCTGTTCCTTTCGGAAACCACGCGCCCAAAGATGGCGCCCATTCTCAATGGCGCGTTTCTTGCCCTCGACGACACGTCCATCCTGCGCGCGCGGGACGATACCACGGGTGAGGTCACGGTGCGTGTGGCCATTGCTGGACCCAAGGTTCAAGGCACCTTTTCCATTGGCGTGCACGTGTTCGCGGTGCCGCACTGGTTTGTGGATGAGTCGCGCTCCTTCAAGATGAAGCTCGACAAGTGGTCAAAGAAGCAGCGCGCCGTGTCTGGGTCCGAGAAGGATGCGGCCGCGGCAAAGGATCTGGAGGCAAAGTATCCCGTGATTGAGGTGCCGATCCCAAAGCCGGGCACGGCCAGGGGCAACGGGCAGCAGGATGGGGAGGGCGAGTTGAAGTTTGAGGAGAATGAGTGAGTGATTGGGTGGAGTTTTTTTTGTTTTTTTTCACTGTTTGATGTGTTTTGCTGTTTTTCGATTCTGGTGTTGCAGTATTCGTATGGGATGTAGGTAAATTCAAGATATTTATTCATCCTTTTGCATTCCCTCACTCAGCATAAAGTCGTTCATTTTTCGCCCCATCGCACATTGCATGACGAGCAAACCTCCCTCGTCGAACCAAGCTTGCATGGTTGACTTGATCCGATCCGCCGTTGTGACCAAAGCGGTGCGGTTTGCCTTATCGAGGTGGTATGTCCGAGTGGTCTAAGGAGAAGGACTTAAGTTCCTTTGTTGGCTTCCAACGCGTGGGTTCGAACCCCACTGCCACCAGAAACGCTTTTGAACGATTCCAGAGCTCTGTTGCTAAGCCGTCCTGTGTTGATGTGGGCGAGCTTTGCCGTCTTGGACATAGCCTGTTTTCTATTATGCGTCGCATTGCTTTTTCCTCGGCGGTATGTTTTAAGTCGAGAAGCGGAAGCATTTCCTCATGAGTTCACCCGCAAAGTGAAACAGCGATTGCTAAATGACTATATAGTTCTTTCGCACTTGAGGGGGTCTGTCCCTTGGCATACCCATGAGCAACCTGCCGCGGAATGAAGAAAGAATGGACGAAATGAATTGGGTGTGTATGGCAACCGCGGCACAATGGGTCAAGGACGAAATGGTTGGCGTGAACGTAGAACTGGCCGTCGACCAGAAGCAACGGCCCACAAGCCGAAAAGGAGGCACCGCTAGGGCACCTGATCTTGTCCGACCTTTAGAGCACAAAAATGACATGGAAACATGATGGTGAGCAAACAATGTTTGACTGCTGAAGAATGAAAAACCGAGACCATACAGGCGTGAATCAACTACAATTTCGATGATATTGGGCTGGGCCCAGGGTGTCTTGTGCGCCTTGGGCACAATCCGACAAGAGAATTGATCAAATTCTTGCGAGTAAACAAAACAAGGATAGTGCAATTAGAGATGATGCCATAACGAATGGAAGGTTTGAGAATAGAGTTTTCAACGCACGATCATTGAATGAGCATTTTTTTCTTGTCGGAGGCTACATGCCCAACGACAGTGGCATCCGTGCCAATCGGCGCCGATTGGAGCATGTCGGGGAGTTCAAAAATGTATGGGGAAAGAAGCATCGTGGGACGATCCAGTGAGGCCACGTTTTCCAACATAGACGCTGTGTCACGCGAGTGGTCGTGCAGGATCGTGTGCGACTTGAGGACTTGGCCGTGGGGCATGACGACATCGATCAAGGCCGAGAGGTTGCCCATGCGTTGCCCGACCCAGTTGAGCTTGTCGACCGAGTCGAGTCGGAAGCCGTACATGAGGCCGTCGCAGAGGGTGCCCATGTAGGGAGGGCAGTTGAGGTCCGTGCGCTGGACGTACGTATCGAGTGAGGGTCAGGATCCAGAAAAGACACATGAGAAAACAAGTTTGAAAACGTACACCCCAGCAAACAACCCTGTCATGAGTGAGATGAGTGTCGATGTTGATTGAAGCCAGAGAGAGGCGGCTGACGGGAGTGACTTGGCGGCTCTCTTTATTTATAGTGTTGATGTTGATCGACAAAGCGATCCAACCGATCATTACGCACTCTGCCAACATGTCCAACTCGGTCATTGTACGCTGCCGCTGCCTTGCCACCCTGCTCAATGCACTCGCACGCTCTGCCGCCATGCCGACATGCATCCGCTTCACATGTTGCCGTGCCACTGACCCTGGTCGGTGACGCTCTGCCCACAGCCCAATCTGTACCGCGACATCATCAATAAGGTCATTGAGGATGCCCGTGTAGACTTTGAGAGCTACAACATTGACGAGTCCATTCTGGACGAGCTGCGCATCGTACGCCTCACTCTCTTGACTTACAGACAGGATCCAGTATCCCTGCTCACTTTCCACCGCTGCAACAGACCTGGGAAAAGAAGCTATTCGAGTCCCGCGTCGCCGACTTTTCCTTCATTGAAGAGGACGAGTACTATGGCGAGCCGGCCGCCGCCGCTGCGCCTGCCGCACCCGCCCCTGCGCCCGTCCCTGCAGCTCCCGTAGCTGCCGCTGGTGCTGCAGCTGTGCGTATTTGCTCCCTACTCGGCCGCCTTGTGTCTCATGGTGGGGACTCGATTCAAATCATGTGTGCCGGAGAGCTCATCTCCTCTTCCTTTTGCAGGCAAACCCACAGATGCCGCCCATGTTCCAATTCAATGCACCCGTGATGGGCAGCTTTGCCCCTGAGGGCCGCCCTCGCGTACGTCCATATACGCCTGCCCATTTCTGTGTGTCTCCGTTCCAAGTCGCATATCTAACTCTTTTTTTCTTTGCTTTTTGTTCCATAGCCTCCTCCCGCTTCCACGCAACCCAATGCCAGCGACGCCGTTCCGCAATACGATGGTCCCGCCGACGACGTCGAGTCCGCTTCCTCCTCAGCCGTCTCCACCTCTGCCTCTTTATCTACTCCTGCCGTTGCCTCGTCCCACGTCGTGAGCCCCATGATCCAACAAGTCGACGGTGCCGACGACGACCCCGACGACGATCCTGACGCCATCAACAGTGACCTGGACGACGACGACGAGGATGCAGACGACGAGGCAGACGCCGAGGCGCAGAACCAGATCTTGTGCCTGTACGAAAAGGTGAACCGCACAAAGAACAAGTGGAAGTGCACCATGCGTGAGGGCATCATTCACGTGAATGGCAAGGATTATGCGTTTTCCAGGTTGACGGGTGATTATCAATTCTGAAACCTGAGCTGCTTCGTTGCATGTGTGTGTGGGCGGTCAAGCAGGCAGGTTGTTTGTTGCTTGTGGATTTGGAGTTGATGTGTCATTCAAGCTGTTCGCCTTTTTTTTTCTCTTGATCCGTTGACATTATCCATAGTAAAACCTGTCTTGTAAGCAAGCATTAAGAAGAACCTCGTGAATATGTAATCGTTTTGATTCACTAATCTCCCTGCTGAGAGGTGACCATGACAGAATGGCAAATGCACGCATAGAACGTTGGTCTTGCCCGGATCAGTGAACACGGTATGAGCTATGTAGCACCGCCTCCATGTAAGCCCGCCTCTACACCCGCACAATGCGACCCGACGCACACAAGCAAAAGGCTTCTCGCCGATACCAGGCTACCCATGACATGACCGCCGGCGGCGGCCGCGGTGGGTCAACGCCGAAGCGTGGCCGCGGCGGCTCATCCTCACTGCCAACAACCACATCTGCACGTCGTGCCCAACAGCAAGAGACCAGTGCGCAAGAAAACGATGCACAAGACAACCCATTTGCCGAGGAACTCGAGTCGGATCAGTCGAAAGCGTCAGCGTTTTGGACTCGGCGTCGGGTCGTCGACAACTCGTTTCGGTTTGAGGGCGACCTCCGTACGTCTAAACCCTGTGGCTTTGACTACACACTGTGGACACGTTTGCTCATTGTTCTTCTGGTGGATGTGCATCAGCAGCAACAAGTGACGACGACGCCGACGCCGACGCCGACGCCGACGAGAATGTGCCTGACCGGGGACAAGATGCCGGCGCCAAGGCGGCCAAGTTGCTCGCCGAACGGATTGCACGAACGGGTACAGTTCCAAAATAGATGCACGATGTCCTGGCTCATCTCCCCTCACGTAGTTCTCGCCAATAAACACCGACCAACAGAGCAACGCAGTCGAACCGATGCTGGTGCATTCAAGTTCAAGGATGAGGAAGCTTGGGATCAAGCCCGCGAGAGCGCTGGTGGACCGAATGCGGATCTCGACGCGGTGGCAATGCTCGATCTCAACCAGCTTGACACTTGCCTGGCGTCGGTTCCGCTCGCAACCCGAATCCCGGCTGTAACGGCATTCATCGCAAACGCCAAGACGGCTTCTCCTGTAAAGGTGTGTGAATGTCTTTCTTCTGCTCGACGCCCTTACCGTCAAACCTCTCTCCCTCACATGCACTCTGTTTTCGACCCCAGGAGCCGCCTTCTCCAAACGCTCCGGCTTCACGTTCCAAGTCTCGCTCTCGCTCTCGGTCAAGAACCCGCGATTCAAGGGCGCGGGTTGTAGAGTCACAACCAAACGTGCCAACCAGTACCGCCACTGACACGTTAACTGTGCCAGCGCAGCCGGCGCCCGCTCAGGGCTCCCACGTGGCCAATCCGACACAAATCACACCAGCGGACAAGAAGCCTGCCGAGGTGTCCAAGGTGGCGAGCATGGAGGCATGGCTGGACGACTTTCTTGACGATTGATGGTGTTTCCTCATAGCAGGTGTAAGACCATAGGTACACATGTTGTCGATGTGCACGTCAAGAGTTGTTTACATTATCGTAGTCGATGACCACACACTCCAGTTGCCTCCACACTCCTCATTCCTTCTTTGTCTTCTTGGCATCCTCCTTTGCCCGGTTGGCATAAATGCGAGTGAGATGCGGGCCCTACAATCACACACGAACCTCTGCTCTATGAGTAACCACGAACAATACACCCATCAACTCACCCAGGAACCCACCCAGACTACATACCTCGATAAACTTGACGGAAATCTGAAACACGACCCACATGATGGCCGCCAACGCATACCCAGCCGCCGACTGATACACAATGGCATACCCGAGGCACGCAAACGATGTGCCCACATACTGCGGGTCGTTCCAGTACTGGTACGGCCCGCCAGTCACAATTTCGTCCATGAGGAAACCGAACGAGTCACCATTGTACATGTTTTTGATGCCCAGTGCCTTGAGCGTCCACAGGTTGATGAGAATGCCAGCGGCAAAAAGCGAGTAGCCCAGAGATTGAGCAATGGTTGTAGGGAACAGGACAAGCTGATAGTTGGGTAGTTTGAGGGCGGTGGGGTCGAGGGATGGCATCATGGGTGAGACGGAGTGTGGGCATGCAGGGAAAGAATGCGTCGTGACGTACCGAGCCTGCGTCTTGCACCATGGCCAAATCAATCACGTAATCGCGGGCAAGGGCCGAAAGGATCAAGTACACGGCGTAAAAGTAAATCGCATTCTTGCCGATTGCCTAATTCCCCCCCACGACAATGCAATCGCACGAGCAGAGCCGGACGAGGTCAGTTGGGTGACATGGAAAGCCAATGGCGACGTTGGCAAAAGGAACGCAGGGATGACAGCAATACTGTCCCCGGTCGCACTCCGTCACTCATTCAAAGCAAACACACCTTGGTAAAGATGCGGGTATTGTACTCAATTTGTGCCGTGACGTTGTAGTTGGCAACATGGGCAACGATCGCACCGGCGGCGGCCAGGACGGGCACGCTCAACAGGCTGGTGGCAAGCTGAGATATGTTGACGGACGACATGACGGGTAGAGCAGTGCGCTGGTAGAGACGG